GCTCAGCAGGGAGCCTGCTTCTCCCTCTGACCCTCCCCCCTCTCATGTGCTCTCTGTCTCTCTCATTCTCTCTGTCTCAAATAAATAAATAAAATCTTAAAAAAAAAAAAAAAGCAATTTTATGTATCACTTCCATAAAGTTCACCAAAATTCACTTCGACAACTACGTGGGATCATCAAGGAGCAAAAAAATAAGTAAAATAAAATTTAAAGCCAGTGGGCTAGGAGGTGAGTTACAGCCCAGCTCTGAGAGACCCTGGCTCAGCTGAGTAAGGACTGAGAGTATTGGCCCTGTCCCACTCCTGGAAGTGACTTTTAGGCCCACAGCGCAGGGTCATAGCTGAAGTTACATCTTATTTCTTCTATCATTTCCATGTTCCTTACAGTCCTTCATTTTATTTCTTAAAGTATTTTTTAAATACAACTTTTCTAAAGATCATGTTGCATCTCGATGAGAACGCTTTTCCCAGTTTAGCTGTCGGACAGAAAAAGCATGTGACAAAGGTAAGCGCAGGCCCGGTATCTCTTCTGGCCAGTAGAGGGTGCACTTGTCCGAGAATCTGGTTTCTCCCACGGGTGACTAGGGTGGAGTGCGTCTGGCCCCAGGACTCGTAACCAGATTGAGAGTCTCAGGCTGCATTGCATCTGTAACTCACCTTTGCTGAAATCTAGCACACAATTTCCCTCCTGAGAACGGCTGAGTGTTAGGGCTTTCAGTGCAAAGCTTCAGCCTCCAGCTAGTGCCAGTTGCAGGTATAAAGGTTGATCCTGTGGTTGTATGGAAGTAAGTAAATGTTGATTTTAGATGACTAGTGGGTCAACTCCTCTGGCAATGTTGGTCTATCTTTGGAAAGAAAAGTGAGTTTTACCAGGTACCGCACATGCACATGCAGCCTAGCATTTAACTAAACGGCATTCTGGAGAATATACTTCGTCTTCCACACGTATCTCTGTGACCAAAGCTTTACCTCGAGTCCATTCAGTAAGAGAGCTGCGAATCTGCTTAACTACTTCACACTGTCTCCCTCTCGGACTAAACAGTTACTAACACAATACTTAAAAAGACAAAGAATTAGACATCTGCTACCTTTTCCAGCTCTCAGACTCTTGACAGAGTTGAAATGTCACAAGTGGAGATTTTCTTCAAATACTCAAACTGAATCCTAACATCTAAAGAGGATGCTGACTCATATGTGACTAAGTTGAAGGTTACAGGGAAGACTAAACATTTATTTAGAAGTTACAGTGTTTGTTTTTACAGAGATAGGTTGCCACAGATTATTGATTCTGGAAGGTTTGTTAATACTTATAGGACTATACACATCTTAGTCTATTCTCATGAGCATCTTCTGAAAACGTCTCCTGTAGTACCCGGTCCAGCCGTCTTCACGAGTGTCTCCAGCCTGTGATGGGGCCCTTGCTTTTCCCTCATCATTGGTCATGGACAGTGTGCCTAAGATTCGTCCTCTCAGCAGCTTCTCTGGGGGCCTTGTGCGGCCTCCTGGATGGTGGCAGAGGTGCTCAGTGAAGGGCTGCCGCCTCAGTCTGTGTTACTCTTGCCAGGTGGAATCCTGTTACGGGGGCTTCTTTGATTTCCCCCTCAAACCTCAGTGGGTAGGATTCTCTGTGTCTCTCCAGAATTATAAAAACACATATACATTTATTTACAAGTGCATAAATATATAAATATGGCTATTATAGAAAAATAAATACCAATTTTCTCTTTTTAAAAACAATATATAGTCTTTCTGGGATATTGGTTTCTGCCTAAATTGTAGGAGGTGGTGTGTCAAAAGCTACGTGCACTGGTGAGCTGGGGGAGAGCTGCATCCCAAGTTCCTGCCCTACGTAGGCCCCTGCGGGGTGCTGGGAACACCAGTCTCCTCCACCCACTTGGCAGGAGTTAGGCCTGTCCACCTCTTCAACCGGTACAAGGCCCAAGCAGCACAGCGGCCCTGAGGGGAGAGAAAGATGGAAAACATTAAAATCCAGACTGACCAGGGACCGTTGCTCAGGGTACTGGGCCAGTCTCTGTGACGGGAGTTGGTTATACTAGCCCTAAAAGAGGCAGAAACACGTAACTACGGCAAGGGCATTTCTGTTCTCAGGTCTCAGAGACATGGGGGGGCACTTGTTACCCATGTCCCACCTACACATTTCAGTGAGGGAACCCCCGAGACTCTCAAGCAACTAAGCCTATACCCTGGAGCAGATGAAGTCAGCTGAGCCCATGAAATGTGGACGAGAGCCCTGTTCTCTCCAGACATAAGCTGCTAGTCTACCCCTCTGATATGATTTCTCTGGGCATAATCATCCCACCCCAGATGGAGTCTGGTTTTGATGATGCTGGGGTCTGGCTCTAGGAGGTGGCTGTCTTAGAATTTTATCTCCCAGAGACAGAGTCTAGGATCGGACATTCATGCCATGGAAACTAAGAAGCATTAGCCAATTGTCCGAATCAGCATGGGCCCCAACCAAGTGTCCACTGATTTCCAAGAGCCTGGCACGAAGGAGGACTGTGGGGCAGGCGGTGTGCACTGAGGCCCCGGAGAAAAGGCTCTGTGGAAGCACAGAGTTAGGAGGGTGATGTGAGAACTCAGTTGCTTAATGGCTGATATCACCTCATTCCTTAATTAAGAGACAAGACCCAACAAAGCAAGGTATTTGGGGTGATTAGAGAATGCCTCTTGGTGTGATGAGAGGCGGTAGGAATTTGTGAATGGTCTTAAGATGCCGAGACCAAAAGGGCTTCTTTCTCTGAAATGGGGATGTGTCCTTTTCTCAGCTTTTTGGAGCCGGCCCCACCTGGTTTGCCCCCACAGGCTCGCTCCCTGTCTCTCCCATAGAAAAGCTGTTGGATGGCTCTTAACACCACCTTTGAGGACTGTTCTCTCCCCCTCTCTAGGCCACTGTGGGGTTATGGACACCTACTTCATGTCATCCCCGGCCTGTGCCATTTCCTGCCCTGCCCCCGGCACCAACCTCGGTGAAAAAGAGGGTCCCAGGCGGCTTCCAGCCCAGGGCTCTGGGGTACGTCCCTTGCGCCTGACTGGCCTGTGGCGGCGGGCTGCTCCTGGAGGCGGCGGCAGTCTTGGTGGGGCTGGAGCAGCAGGCGAGTTGAGTCATCAGGCAGTGTACATGAGAAAGAGCCCTCGTCTGGGCTAGCCTTGGGAGCCCTGCGGGCGCGAGACCAGATGGAGAAGTGAGGTGGAGGCCGCGTGGGCCTGTCCGCTCACCGCCCCGTCTGAGGGCGTCAGAGCTGACCATTTGAACAGTAAGAGGCGCCATATCACCACTTCCGTGGGTAATGCTAGTCCACTTCCATTTTTTTCTGTGGAAGTTCTGGGTGCGTGAAAGGATGTGCAGTCAGGTGCCGAGGGGCCTGTGGACCGAGCCGGTTGCATGTGGCTGCTCTGGCCTGCCGAGCGAGGGCAGGACTCTGACAGGCCCACCCATGCCGCAAAGCAGGCAGGGCATTATAACTGCAAACACAACACCTCCTTAGGAGACGAGTCCGGCGGAGCGGGTTGTCAGATGTGCCCCCCTCCCCGGCCCCCCTCAGTGCCTGAGCCTGGGTGTGAGGAGCTTTTGGGAAAGAAAGCTCTGGAGCGGAAGGCAGGGATGGGAGAGGCCTGGTTACCTGGGAATCTGGTGACTGGGGGGGTCATATCCGGTGCCAAGAATGGTCTGCGTTAGCGGGCCGCTGGTGTCTTCCTGCTGCTCAAAAGAAAGAGTAACAAAAAGGTCACATCAGAGTCCAGGTAGCTTTCCTGTTCGCTGTTCGACAGAATGAGCCGTTCCTTCCTGACTAAAGAGAGCCAGACCCGGCAGCCCAGGATTCAAGGCTGGAAGGGAAAAACCCCCAGGAGGCAGCCCAACAACCCCCCTGTGCTGGCCCGCACCTATGTGCCCACATTCCCAGGATTACGTTACCTGCTGAAGCACCCCTGGGCAGTGCTGCTGAGCTTTCACGCCTGGGTAGCCCAGGGCAGCTGCAGGGCAGCCCCTGTTCCCGTGGATCCCACTGGCACAGGCCCGGCTACTGGTACCACTGAGGTAGGGCTGCCCATTGGCCTGGTGGCCTGGGAGTCCTCCCAGTGGTACCATAGTGTATTGGCAGGAGGAGGACAGAAGGGCACTTCGAGGAAAACCCAGGTCTGTGGTATGTTCTGGAACGACAGAAGGACAGAGGTATGCTTAGGCCAAGGAGGCCCAGGGCAGCCTCCAGTACCATAGAAAGCTCAGAAAACTTCTGACTACACTGGGTAAAATGAGGTACGCAGGGAACTGACACTGCCTCAGGGATGAGAATATTCTCTCTCCGAATATTCTTCCAGTCACCCACTTCTAACATTTAACTCTTTTCTGCAGTGGGGAGAAGGGTGAGGAGATACAGGGGCAAGAAGTGGCGAGCCAACAGAAGCAATATTTAAATGAGGCAAGTTGCCCAGACGTGTTGCCATTTGAAGCAGAAATTAGTGGGTAACAGGCTAAGAGGGGAAGCTCAAGGCGTCCGCAGGCCCAGAGAAGCAGCAGGGAGGACATGGGGTCCATTTGCAACATGAACATGTGGTCAGAGCAGCAGCTTCAGACATGGAAAGGAGTTGGAGCCAGGTAAGTACTGAGCTCCAGAGACTCAGAGAAGACAGACCACTTCCACTGCACGCTTTCCATCTGCCAAGGCCCATGAACTGGGAGGAAAGGGCCTGGGCGTGGCGTATTTTTCTCTCTCTGAGCCCTGTGGGGGGACCCAGGAGCTTACGCTCTAGTGAATGCGAAGCAGGGCGCCTCCTCCCCTCCCTGGGCTCCTCCCCGAGGTGCCGAGGTGGGGTCACTCACTCACTTTGCTTAGACCAGGCCCTCCACAAACAGAAGGGGATGAAGGCGACAATGATGAGGACGATGGAGCCTAGGACGACCCCAACAATCAGGTAGGGCAGGTCGCTGGAGCGTGCCACCATGGCCCCGGTGCCCACAGGCCGCTCTGCGGTTTCCGGGGGTGGCAGCTGAGGTGGGGCCAGAGTTGGGGGTGGGAGCCGACCGGGCTGACCAGAAGACTTCCGGGCTGTAATTGTGGACAAAACTCACTTCAGCATCGATTATTTGACATTTCCCTCCCAACAAACAAAAAACAGCACCAACAACAAACCTGATTCCGTGGGACTGGGAAATGGGGTCAAACTCACAAGGCAGTGCCTCAAACTCTGTATTAGATGAGTGCGGTGTCCAAGCTCAGCATGAAACTGGCCTCTAATGGGAGATTTGATATTGCTGAAGGGAACTGAACCTTCTATTTCAAAACACAACCTGAGATATTTGTGAGCCAAGCACTGAATCAGACTGGGTCTTTTGGGCAGAAGAGGTGTAGGGCTTTTCTCAGAGAATAGCCGGTGAACTTTTGGAAGAAAATCTTTAAAAAAAAAAAAAAAATGCATGAGGGGCACCTGAGTGGCTCAGTCAGTTAAGCGTCTGCCTTCGGTTCAGGTCATGATCCCGGAATCCTGGGATCGAGCCCCACATCGGGCTCCTTGCTCAGTAGGGAGCCTGCTTCTCCCTCTGCCCCTCACCCCATTCCTGCTCTCTCTCTCACTCTCTCTCTCAAATAAGTAAATAAAATCTTTAAAAAAATGCATGAAACCAGCAAAAGAACTGGGAATGGCAGAATTTACCCATGGATTTGCTATTCCTGGGCAGATAAGGGATGCAAAGTCCTAGGTCTGAGCCTGGCCGCAGAGCAGGGGGATGGAGGTGGGGAGATGCGCTAGGACATTCAGTAACCGGGAACCACCACTTCTCCAACACGACGGCGACTCCTCCTGTGGCTCATGCTAGTAGCGGGCTGTGTCTGACCTGTTAACTCCCGTGCACAGCCGTCTGCCTCTCGACCCTGACAGCACGGCTGGGGATCTCCCGCTACCTCTCCGAGGGCTGCCGCTTGCCTTTTTCTGTCTTCTCCTCAGAACTGCCAGCCCTCCTCGACCCTCTCAGGCCACACTCTCTCTACTCTGTCCTGTGTCCTGATGGCTGCCAAGTCCCTGTGCCCGGGGCCCTCCCCTGCCGACAGACCTGCTTCTCTTTCAGGGTCTCGGAAGAATCAGCCCCAGGAAGTCTCTGAGTGGTTTCCCCTTGCTCCTTCCCTTCTCCTGGGCTCTGCTGCTCTTCTGGCTTCCCCACTTCAATAAATGGCAACATCATCCCTGCGCACTTTGTGCTAGACACCTCACTCTGAGTTCACTCTGAACTCCCCTCACTCTCCCCCGGCCCCGATGTGCTAGCGGGCCCTGGTCCTACCCCCACATCCTTCAGGACAGACTCCAACTCGTCCCTTCTCTTCGCCCATACTTCACAGGCGCCGCGCTCTCCCCCAGCCCGCTCCTGCAGAGACACCAGGAAGCCCTCTCGACCCCACGGCCACAGGGTCCTTGATGATCCAATGCCCACGGAACCCTCGGGCCCTTCCCTGAGCATTCCCTCTCTCGTTCTCCTTCTAGATGCCACACCCTCCAACCACGGGGCGCTACTTGCAGGCAGACCCTGTCCCCCAGGCTAGACCCACCTGAAGCTTCAAGCCCTAGAAGCCGGGGTGAAGCCTCTGCTCTTTGCCCCGGGCACTCTGTGTGCCACGTGCTGCAGGACTTCCAGCCCCTCCCTTCCCTGCACAGGGGGGAAGCGGGCAGGGAGTGCACACAGGGGGCACTCCGCCTTTGCTGAATAGGGGAGGAAAGCAGTGCAAAGCTAGAGAGACAATGTTGCCAATGTCGGGAAAATGGATTCTTTTTTGTCTCCATTCCTATTCCTTTGTGATCCTCTCCTGATTCTGTTCTTTGCAATATACCTCCGTTAGACGTTTCCATATTTGCAAAATGGAGATGGTGGTATCTATCCACTTGACCAAGGTGCAAATATTAACAAGTTATTATGTGGAGATGTCTAACATGCTTCAGTGCAGAGAAAGAATCCAGGCTTGTCGTTAGATGAATTTGGCCCAAAGTGTGCTCCACCCCTAACTGGCTAAGTGAACTTGCTCAGTTTCTTTCCTACGCCATGGAATTGTAGTTAAATTCAGTAAACCAACCAATATAAGTACCAAAATTTATTGGACTATAGTGTTTATAGAAAGTTCTGACCTTAAGGATGGGTTCTATTCCATGAGTTCATCATGTATGAGTTAATTCCCCACTTCCTTGAAGCCATCAGGATGGCAACCCTATTCATACCTGAGGCCCAGGAAAATGAACAGAAGGGTTAAAAATGGCAAGGTTTAGGAGTACTTAGAAAATAAGGCGTCTTCATGGGGAAGAGTTACCAGCCTGCCACATGGAATAGCAAGAGGAGAGCAGAGAGCCTAAAGAGAATCACCTTTGGTTTCGCAGATCATCACGTTGCTGAACTCACTCTCCCCACCCTCATTGAAGCACTGCATCTTAATGTCGTAGGAGGTCTCTGGCTGCAGGTGGCTGATGGAATGCCAGTATCGATCCCCTGGAAAACAAAGCAAGAAAGTCACACGTAGTGATATGCATCTGGTCTGTCTGGAACCAGTCACAGTTGGACTCGGACGGGGGTGTGTGTGTCTGGGCTGGTGCTGTGAATGCCGCAGGGCACCCTGGGGCGGAGGAGCACTGGAGGAAAGGAAGCATGTGGGTTTATGATCTTGATGACCCTAGGTGTGTCACGGGTCCATGAAATGCGCATGGATGCTTTGTGGCCCACCAGCCCAGGTTTTATGCTTTCACCAACACCTAGGCCCCCCTTGCCAACAGAGAAAACCATTTCACCTGAGGTGCTGCTTACCTTCCACCATATCCTTCTTGTAGTCACTATCATTGTCACTGTCTGTGGGTCGATAATAGATATAAAAGCCATGGATTGGGGTGTTGTTGTTACTTGCTGGAATATACTATAGGGAATGGAGAAGAAAAACAAGTTGCCCATGGAGCAGAGAAATCATGTGAATAGAAGCACTGGTGGATAGAAATTTTACCCCAGCCTGGAGTTTAAAAATTCACTGAGGGAGCCTAGAAAATACTTCTGCTGATATTTCCAAGGCTTTCTGGGGGAAGGCTGTAAGATCACTTGTTATTTAGCCTAAAGGTCCCCCAGCTCTTGGAGACCAGAAATGGCCATTTCTCCAAAGATGTAAGTCCCCTCTAAACCTGCTTGGGTACCATAGGATGAGGCTCTCTGGCTCAATTCCCAGGTATGGGGGGTTTGGGGGGTGGCCACTTAAGGGGAAGGATCTTAGAAGGGCAGAAAAGTGATTCCTTCCTGCTCCTGCTGCTGCAGCAGCCAGCCCCTGTCATCATGAAGCTAGGCCCCATCTCCCCGTTGCACTCTGTGCGAGGCCACTTACCATCCACTTGAGCATGATGGTGGTCTCGTTGATAGCATCAGTGAAGGTGATGTAAGGGCCTGCCACAGGCCTCTCGTACACACGGCCACTATAGCTCGACACCACATACGGCCGGGAGGGGGCGCTGGGCTCACTCTCCCCCAGCATGTTCAGAGCCCTGACACGGAACTTGTAGGAGGTGCCTGGTAAGAGACACTCACTTGAACCCAGGAGCTCGAAAACACACTTCTGACTCACCCCCACCCAGCACACCCAGAACCTGGAGGGATCTTTTGGGTAGCCCTTCCCCAAACGCCAGTCCCCAAAGGACACAAGAACTCCCATCTTCTTCAGAAAGGAGCCACAGAGGGGAGAGCTATGGACCTCTTACGGAGAGAGGGAGGATAAGGAAGGGTTTGTAGAATGGAGGGGACACCACCAAGAGCATCCATGTACGCAAGATGGGGGGGGGCAGACCAGCAGAAAGAAGAGCCTCCAAAGTTTTGACTGTTTTCTGAGGGGTCGGGGACAGCTGGAGGACCAGGTGGGACAGTGGCCAGACCCCTACCTTTCTCTAGGCCAGTGATCTCCACTGAGAGCCGGGAAGGAGGGATGGCACTGGTGGCCAGAATCCAGTCCCCCACTTTCTTTAGCTTCTTGTACTCCACACGGAAGGACTGGATTGGGAAGCCACCATTCCCACGGGGAATCCAGGTCACATACACTGACGTCTCAGAGGCCATGGAGATAGTGGGCCTGTCTGGAGCTTCAGGGGCTGGAGAAAACCATACGTGAGGGAAGAAGGAAGCAGGAGGGACACGATAAGGTAGTTGTATTGCAACTGGACTTGGCCTGTTCCTGACTGGGGCCTGTTACCTGCCCCCACCAACCTTCCCCGTCTGGTGGCCGTATCAGATCTTCCAGAGCTACCTGGGTCACCTTCTCCCAGAAGAAGCCCTTGAGCTAGGGCCCCTAGAACCATGCTTCTGCAATGTCAGACTGTGGAGGGCCCAGAGTCTGTGGCTCTCTCCTCTGTGCTGTCTGGACCCACAGGGTTAGCAATCCTTACCCCCCATGTCAGACTAACATTTTACTTGAAAAACTCCAATCTACGTTTTCTTATTGGGGTTGGCTGGGGAGATGCCAGGAAAATATCATAAGGCTTCCCGGACCCACGGAACAAGACCCCATTCCACCTGCAGCAGTGAGCCTTCTGAGGCGGTGGGCCTGGTTCCAGTCCTGACTCCTGCTCGCTCCCGCCCCTCTGAGCTGCTGGGGGCTTACGAGAGAGGCGGCCGTGGTCTGGCTGACTGCTGCTCTGGGGGCTGGCTCCGGGGTCGTCTCTCTGGATCTGCTGCTCCTTGCTGGCCATGACGTCAGGTTTGGGCCGCCGTCCTGGAGGGAAATGAGATCGAAACCAGCGGATGGGGGAGCATGTATTAGGTCTCCCTTTCCAGAGAGTTCTTTGAGCCTGAGACTCTGCTGGGGGGCGTCTAACAGGGTGATGCAAATCATACAGGACATTGGCAGTGTGGTCGGATTCCTAGCTCTGCCTGACCATTATGGTACTGTGCCTGGCCCCAGTGTGCGACTGTGTGTGTGTGTGTGTGTGTGTGCATGTGTGTGGGTACACACACGGGTATGCAAGGGGGGCGGTGGCCAGAGACGTCAGCTGGCAGCTCTCCTGATGAGACACAGGACCTCAGCCTGGGCTCATAAACCACAGGGAGGCAACAGCTGAAAGGAAGATAAAGTTCAAGGTGAACAGCTGGGCCAAGGCGAGCAGGGCTTCCCCTCCTGGGCCTGGCAGGATTTGCTCAGGCCCACAAAACCCCGAGCTGGGGGCAATGTGTGACTCTTACCAGTTCGGAAGGTGACCATGGCTGTCTGGCCTTCGCCTCCACAGTTGTAAGCTGCCATCTCCACTTCATACAAACTCCCAGGGTCGAGTCTGGTGAGGGTCAGGCGGTGCTGGCTGGCTGCAATGCTGGAGACGGTCCAATTGTCAGAGGAGTTTGTGACCTGCTGGAGAAGGTAGCTGGTATCAGAACTGGCCCAAACTGGCCGTGGTTTGTGGAGAAAGCAGAATGGAGTCCAGCAGGGCAGAAGGAAGGGAAGGACAGTGGGCCGGGTTTGGGGAGGGGTGGTGCTGCTGAGCGCAGACTGGTCCTGCAGGCTCTGGAACTTCTATCCTCACTGGGACAGTGAAGTAGGCTCCCTGGTTCCTCATTTAACCATCCCATCAAAGAAAATTCAGTGGGGAGGGTCGACATGCCTCTTATAGCTGAGAATTTCTCCAAATACCTCCTATCTGTATTTCTGAAAACCTCCGCATTTAACTTTTTTTCTCCTTGCTCTATTTAAACCAAATAAACACAGTCCCTTAAGTTTATGTTCTGGGAGGATGATTAGGAGGATAAAAGCAGCAGCACCAGTAGAAAGAATCTCGGTTGCTGAGTGCTTACTGTGTGCTCAGCATGGAAGCAAGCACTTTACAGGCCCTATGAAGAGCTTTCATGACAACAGACCAAGAGACAGGTGCTAGTTTTTTTCCTGCTTCACAAATGCCAAGGCTTGGAGAGAGGAGTAATCTGTCTACAGCTACCTTGCTAGTGAGTGCAAAAACCATGACTTGACTCCAGAGGGCACATTCATAATCATATGCAACTCATCCTAGAAAGAAAGAAAGTCTGGGAGCCAGAAAATCTTGGGTTTAAATCCTGATTGTGTCTCTAAATCCAGCTGTGTAACCCTGAGCCAGTTCCCTAACCTCTCTGATCCCTAAGGTTTTCATTTCTAAAAGGAGTCAAATAAAAGCTCTCAGTTTTTTCTGAGGATTAAACGAGATGATGTATATAAAGTGTCAGGCACTGAACTTGGGACACAGTAGGTTCCGAGCGAGGGCCTGGCCCCTTCTCCGGACTCGCCCCACATCCTCCACTTGGTGGGTTGCTGCCATTTTGATCCTCCTCTTTCCACTCCTGTCCTCACGCCTTGCTTTGTGCTTAAAAACTGCGGATGAATTGTAACTATTATGGATTAACCTTTAATGGCCCCAAATTCCTAGCTCTTTACATAAAAAAATCCAGGCTCCCTCCCGAACAGGTGATGTCGAGAGGCTGCTTCATCTCACCTACCCTACCTTTCAGGACAAAAGATTTAACTGCCAACAGTGCACATCTCACAGAGTCTGCAGGGACCTGAGCTGTGGTTTGCTCAAGAATTAAACAGCTGGTAGGAAAAGCCCTTATCCCTAAGCAGAATATTCCGAAGTAGAACAAAACCTTCTATTCAAGGGACAGGGATGGTCTGGGCTCATTTATGTCTGACTTCCTGGATTTGTTCCAAGGGAAGAAGTTTTTACAAACTGTGAATCCTCAGTAGTACTGGAAACCCAGACACAGAAGCCCAAGGTCTGCAGATGCGGCAGGAAGTGAAACTGGCTTCACGAATGGGAAAAAGTGAAAATAAGCTGAGTGATTCCCAGTCTCCTGCAAGAGAAGGGGCTGGAAACACAACCTAAACACTCATTTTTCCCTTCAAAATCCTTTCTTGTGTGACGATCCTTAAGACCTGCTAGTCCTTCGAAAAAGGCCCTGCTTGCAAGACATAATTCCTGTCTTGGCTGTGTCCACCTAGCAGCCCCAAGTGCCCCAGAGGCTGGAGCCTAACCAAAGCCAGACCCAGCGGGGGCACGGTCCTCTCACTTTCCCTGTACCCCTTTTCTCCCTTGGCCCTCCCGGCGCTGGCCTCACGCTGCCACTGGGCTCCAAAACAAAACTAAGGAATAGCCTGGTCATTAGTCACTGTCACACGCACACGGGGTGAATGCGGCCTCGGCCTGGCATTTCCGGATCACCACACATGGCCTTTGCCAGCCTGCCTCTTGGTAAAGCAGTTCCATGGCCACCTATTGGCCTGAAAAATATGATTCTTGTTCTCATTGCTGGTTCTTGTCTCCCGGGGACTGTGAGCATTTGGCCTGCCCTGATCTCTGTCTACAACTCGAGATGGAGGTGTCTAGTTACATGGGGAAACAAGGATTAGGACCAGCCCTGCCCCAGAAACTGGGCAGAACAATGCAGCTTTTTGTTACAAATACATTCACCCGCTTTGCTGGCTGGCTATGAAGAGGCCAGCAGGCTGAGTGTTAGTGAAAAATTGCACCCCAACCCCCACCTAGGAGGCAGTTTTGCCTCAGGTGTCTTTCCGACGAGCCAGTGTGTCTGCGGACTTGTCCTGAGCCAAGGTCACAGAGGGAAAGAACAGAATGAGAGGGGCTGGCGGGGTCCAGGGCAGGGGAAAGGGCTACCGTCCAGCCGACATGCCACACTGCAAAGGGCTGGGTTTGTTTTTTGGTTTTGGAGGGGGAGAAGAGTTGCTAAATACTTTTAGTATATAAAATATAGCACCTATAATACATTATCGAAAAACATTTAAAAAAATCCATTAAGAACAATAATTTTCTACTATCTAATGGTCTTAGAAAAAGCAGCACACATCTGGGATGAACAGAAATGCTCTTCCAGGACATTTCTTAAAGGGAACCTTATGTCCTTCTCCCTATGGGGTAACAGCAGGTGAGCTCAGGGCCCTATCTTGCCTCACAGGACACCGTGTCCAAGAGGATGGCCTGGCCACTGTCCCCACAGCCTGCCAGAGCCAGAGGTCCCCTCCCTGTTAGCTCCCGAAACCTCCACCTGGACAGGCCTCCTTCTGTCAAGGAGAAACAGCTGAGGTTTGAGCAACATGATGTGCTTTCACCTCCAACGCCTGCTTGTCAAAGCCGAGCCATTAGGGATCCTGAAAACTGAGGGGGTATTTTACAGTCCTCAGAGAAAACACTTGTTCACAAATATTTGTTTTCCTGGCCCTACAGCTAGCTTGCCATGTGGAGTCCCTGCAGGTATGTGCCCAGTGGAGCTTGCTTCGGTTAAAAAACAAAATAAAAAACAACATCAACGACAAATGACGGGGGGTGGGGGGAGGGCAGGTGATGGTGAACGGGGAGACTGTTCACTCTCCCCCGGAGAGGAGAAGTTGGTGGTGGTAGCTTCTGGGAAACCAGCTCGCAGAGAACCTGAAGGAGCACACATGACTTTTTCCTGGGCCTGTTAGGGAGGCCCAACATGCCTCAACTCACAAGCAACTTCCTGGGAGGTGGCAGGAAAGTACAGCGGAGGAGACAGAAGGTCAAGGGCAGCAGTAGAGATTGCTGGTCCAGGCTGCAGGAACTCAAGGGGAGATGGCTAGCAGGCAGAAACCCCTGCCCAGGTCTGAGAGGTCCGCACAATGCCAGGCACCATACCTTGCGGTGTTTCACCACGTAGTAGAGGATTGGCGCCTGGCCACCACCCTCGTGCCGAGGCCGCCACACCAGCTCGTAGGAGTCCGTCTTGGAGGTCCGGGGTGAGCTGAGGATGATGGGCGCCTCGGCAGGAGCCACCTGCCCCTTCTCTCCGGGGCACTGTGGGGAAGCTGGCTGCACTGATGTCAGGGGCTTTGGGAGCCCTGGGCTCCCCCTTAGCATCTGGTCAGGGCTTCCAGGTCTGGAGGGCAGCATGGAAGGGGTGGCAGTGTCCAGCTTAGCGTCCTGCCATGGCCTCAGGGTTGTACCTGGAGGACCAAGAAGGAAAGAGAAGGGAAGGAAGAGGATGTTAGTTCCCCTGGTCATTGGCTGAATTGTTGGCCCCAGGGAGAAGACAGAGACGAGTGAGTCTTCCTGTGGGGACAGGAAGAGCCCCCAGCTCAGAGCCTGAGGTGACCATCAGCCCACTGCACACATAGCCAGGCTCTGTGGGAAGAGAGAGGGCTGCATCACTGCCCGGCCAGGAGAGATGGGCAGCCTGGCGCCCTGTGCCCAGGCTTCTCGGCATGGCCCCGGGCGGCAGGCAGGCATCTCGGCAATCTGCTTGTTCTCCTGAGCCCATGCACTAGCCTCACCTCAAGTGATGGTTCGGTTTACTCCCAAGGAATGCTGCACCTTCCTCCTTACGCCTCTGTTGGGGTGGGGGACATGTCCCTTCACTGTGGGGGCTTAGCAGCATGCAGCCTTTTCCTACTCCACTGCAGGGTGGGGGACATGTCCCTTCACTGTGGGGTCTTAGCAGCATGCAGCCTTTTCCTACTCCACTGCGGCAGCCTGGCATGTGAGACGGGAAGCCGGTTGTAACCCCGTCTGAGAATCCGAGAGGCCAGGAGAGGCAGCAGCCCCCTCAGGAGGCATCTGCAGCATCTGCCAGTGCTAGTTCCTCTCCCCGGCCACCTGCGCCACAGAAGGTTGGCGTCTGATCATGTGGATTCAGCGTTATCAAATTACTCCCTTGGTGAATTTGGTTTCCTCCATGAGGAAGTGGAATCTTTGTTGTGCTTCTTTGCACCACCCCCACCATCTAGTCCAGTGCTGAGCACATAGTAACTTATCAGTCAGTACAGGTACCAACTGAAACGAATCAGACTGAAAAGGACAGACCTGCTTTTCTTTACTCTACGGGATGTCACGGAACCTTAGGAACCCACAGATTCCACAAAATAAAAAGCATTTTTAAAAATACAACAGTAAAGGGGCGCATGGGTGGCTCAGTCGGTTGAATGTCCGACTCTTGGTTTTGGCTCAGGTCATGATCTTGGGGTTGTGGATCGAGCCCCGAGTTGGGCTCTGCGCTCAATGAGGAGTCTCCTTGGGATTCTTTCCCTCTTCCTCCCCCTCTGCCCCTCCCCCTGCTCATGTGCACTCGCTCTCCCTTTCTTTCAAAGGAATAAAAAAAAAACCTTTAAAAAATACAACAGTAAAACGAATCACTTCCACTAGCGAAAATGTACACTTCTGACTTTTAAATAAGTTAATGTAAGCTTAAACTCACAACTAAAAGCCACTTTTATCTATTTTATATATCGGGGTTCTAAGTTGGATTTCAGCTGAGGAAAGAGCTCCGTGAATGTGCAGCTGAGATCTCCAGCCTTTTGGGCTGCACTCACCTGGCCTGGCGGTCCTCAGCTGGACCACGGCATGGGCGCTCCCAACTTCGTTCTCAGCCATGCACTGGTAGACGCCTTCGTCCTCAGGCCCTACGCTGACCACCCGCAGGGCCCCGCGAGACAGTCGGAGGCGCGGGCTAGAGGCGAGGGGCACGGCATTCCTCAGCCATAGCACAGAGGGCGGGGGCTTCCCACGCACCTCACAGGTGAGCTTGGCACTCTGGCCCCATGGGATGACCAGCTGGGACAGCTCCATGGTGACCTCAGGGGGTTCTGCCAGGAAACCAGAGCAGGGGTAAGAAAGGCTGAGGTCTTCCCATCCGGGACCAGACAGGCTGGGGAGGGATCTGTAGTCAGGAATGGGTCCCTCCACCCCCTGTCGGTAGAAGGAAGGTAAGGTTCTTGGGTCTCTTCTGTCAGTCATGACACGAAAGGGCTAGAGAGAAATGCCAGGCCTGTACCCTGGCCTCTGGGATCCAAGCATGCCCAACTCTCTCCGTCCTCTTCCACTACTCACTGGGCATGGGACCTCTCACAAGGCACCTGACCCTGTCTGAGCCTTGGGGTTAGGAGCATCTAGAAAGAGCCCACCGACAATAGAGAAGACCGAGGAGAAGAAAGTCTGCAGGAGACACTCACCAAATACTTGGACGTTATAAAGGATGACTGCTGCACCAGGCTCCCCAACCCCGTTGTCGGCCATGCAGCGGTAAGTCCCTGAGTCCTCCTCACTGGTGGCGTCGATGAGGAGGTTGCTCAGCAGGAAGCGTGTCTTGTTGTAGCCGGCGACACTGGACCCATCCTTGGCCCAGGTGACCCGTGGGGGTGGGATCCCACTGGCCACACACTCCAGGATCAGACTCTGGCCCTTGGTGACGATGATGGTCTGGGCCTCTGGCGGGTAGATGATGCGAGCAGCCTCGGCAGTGGAACCTGGAGGGGCCGGGAGGTAAAGGGCAGCATGTGGGACCAGGACTCAGTGCAGAGGATCCCCTCCATCCCGCCTTAGGTGGCCAGGCCCCAGGAGGCAGTCCCAGACAGTGTGGACTTGGAATCAAACAGCCCCTCAGGGGCTTATGACCTACATAAAGTGAGGCAAGTTACTGAATTCCCCTAGGCCTTGGTTTCTTTATCAAAAACAAGGCCCTCCTTCTGCAGAGAGCTGTTGTAAGAGATGAGGTAATATATTGGAATAGCAGCATCGACACAACATACGTATGAATAACTATGCATGTTGGCAAAGAAAAAGATGAGGGGGTGGACAGAGAAACAAATGGTGTAGGTGACTTTTCCTGCTTGCACTCAGCAAGTGCACCCCAAGTCGAAGGATGAGCTAGGAGACAAGGATCCACGGTATCCCCCACACCACCCATAGGCCTCGGTTCTCAGCATCACTCACGGTGTGAGCACCTCACGGAGCTGAGCGGGACCCACAGTTTAAAGACATGCATTTCCTTCCTTAGCTGTACAGTATCACAGGTTCCCAAAGCAAATCAGCTTCTGGCTCGGCTGCTCAGCTAAGGAAGGAGTGATCTTTTGCCAGCGCTGGGGGAGAAACGGCATAGCACTTACTGGAAGGCAGGTTGCCCTCCAGCGGCCCCTCCCTCCACGTTGGCCTGTGCGATTCTGCTTTAGGTGCCAAGCAGGGGCAGATCTGGGTTTTGGAAGACCTGAGACTTACACAGCTTGGGAGGCCCTCTTTAAGAACCAGAATGCACAACTACAGATACAAAATCCCGTGGCTGAGGGACTGCTGAGGTTTGGCTTCATTAGCTACACGCTACATCTGCCCCTGGCGCTGCCTCTAAGACCAAACTTCACATAAGACGTCCCCCCGCTGAATAAGCCGGAAGCCTAGAGAAGTGCCTGGCCCCCAGGAAATGCTCGGCAAAGGCACATGTTGTTTTCATCCAACCGGGGGAGCGTGGGGGCCCCCACGGACCATCACCAGAGGGAGGTGTGGGCACACCTCAGCGGCGCACAGTGTAGGCTCGCCCTGTGCCTCACACAGGCACAAGCGCATCGCTTTCCTGTGCACGTGCTGGCAGCTGCTGAGCACCAGGCTGTCCGGCGCCGGCAGCCACATCCCAACAGATCCCCGCTCTCGAAGTCTCACAGTGAAGGAGAGCTCCCAATAGGCAGGAGAAAGGGACCAGCAAGCACAGCTACCCCCGGAGCTAGGCAGGGGACATGTGCCGCTAGAGGGGAGAGGACCCCGCTCCATCTGAGTCCTGGATACCCCCCTGGCCCGAGCCCCACGGCTCCCACCCCCGCCTCAGAGAACACAGACTTGGAGCCTGGCCTGTGCCCCGCCTCCGCTGAATCCCCTCCCTTCTCAGCCTGACCAGCCCCTTCCATCAGTGAGACGCCCCCCTGCCCCTTACGGCGCACTCGGAGCCTGTCACTGGAGCCCGAGGTTTTCACTTCCTGGGTCACTGGGTTGTAGGCAGCACACTTGTACATTCCCTCATCCTCCTGGCTCGCGTTCACAATCTGGAGGTTTCCCGACGGCATGATCAGGTAGTTATCTGAGAAAACGGCAGGGTGAAGGGGACGTGGGATGAGTGTGGCCCAGAACGCTGCAGCTGGTAGTTCCCAGTGGGCAGGCAGGGCAGGAACCATGAGCTGTACACCTGAATCCCAATAAGCCCAAACTGGAAAATGCTATTCTCCCCCTAAAACCTCAAATCAAGGGGGACAGAAATGCCAGAGAGTAAAACTAATCAATCAGCTGACAAACTGGCTAAGTCCCCTGTGTTAGTACATAGGTCTATGAAAGAACATTTTATACTTTCAAGGGAGTAGGGTGGAAAGGAAGCAAGATTTGGGGTCTGCCCGACCTGGGCTTAAGCTTTGGATCTGCCATGCACTGTGTGATTTTGGACAAGCTGATTAACCTCTTCGATCCTGTTTCCGCATTTGTAAAGCGGTATGGTACGTGCCACCTCAGTGCCACTGTAAGGATTGAGGGGCCCATGCTGTACACGTGGGAGATGAGATGGTCATTCCTGCAAGCCACCAGGAAGGAGGGAAATAAATTTATAATTTCCCATGAGTCTCTGTCAGGGTCACGGCTCTGAGCCACCTCACTATTGCATTTCTGCAACCAGGGAGGATATTCTAACTCCCAACCACCACCTTCTCCATGAATGTCACTGAAACCCTTCTTCTGCATCACTGGTTCGCTGGACTTTGTCTGCTTTGGGGCCAGGGATGCCATGGGGGCCTGGCCCCAGGGCTGTGTTCTGCTTCTTTCAACAGGAGACAGATCCGTGGCTTTTGGACGCCCCAGTGATTGGGATGGTGTTCAGCTTCCTGGTAGGCAAAGCACTGGCCATCAGCTCTGAGCTCTCTGGTGGCCTGGCCTGCCCCAGGGGGGTCCTGGTGTCTCCGAAATCTGGGTTCACTGAGCTTGGTGCCTGCCTGTCACTGGGCCGCCCCAGGTATGAGCAGCTTAGTTAATGCCTGACAGAATGGGAAAAACCCCTGATTCCTATGGGGCTTCCTCCAGAGGCTATAGCCAAGCTTCTGCTAGAGACAATGGAGATTAATTCTCTATTCCTCTTAGTTTCCAGTTATTTCTGAATGGCAGGATTAGGGGTTTTACCCTTTCAAAAAATAGTTTTCTGCATTTTCTATAGTGAACATATATATTCCTCATAGGAATACAGGAACATATATTCCTTTATAACCAGAAAAATGTAATGAAAATATTTAAGTATCTACAGAATATTCTAAAAGGAATACATTTTGAGCTATGGGTTCAGTTAAGCAGGGTCAACTTGGCCTTCAGTGAATGGTCAACTATGGGAAGAAGCTGTTTTCATCTTGAGAGACATCCCATCTCCTCCCTGGCATTCTGTGGACCACAGAATGGCCTCTCCTAGCCCAGCTGTCATGTACGCCGTGGCCTGAGCAGGAAGCTAGGACAGCCGAGACAGCTGAGACAGCCACATTACCAGGAAGATGGGGAGGGAAAAACCCGAGTCCCACTGACAAGCTTCCTCTGCTGTATGGGAAAGAGCTCCACCTCCCATTGGGCAACCCTGCAGCCCCACGGATGGCTGGGTTCGTCAGGCCGCCTTGCTGTGTGTGCCTGGTGGCAGGGAATCCAGAACCCTGTGCTGACAGCCTTGATCAAATGGTGACAGCTCAGCAACATCTTCCAGAGCCTCAGAGGATGAAGACATTCCTCTCAACAGGGCAGAAGACCTCCATTATGGAAACCAATCCCTTTAGGATCCTACAGGGCTATGTAGCAAGGCAGAAGACCGCTGACCAGTGAGGTGAGGAGGGGGCGGAGGGCATGTTGATGGGGGTTGGGGAGGCAGTAGGCAGAGGTGGTCAGCTTCCCCACTTGCTCACTCACCTCTAGATGCCTCTAGCCACTCCTGCTTGACACTGTATCGGACCTGGGCTTTTGGGTGGCTCTCAGGAAGGTGGCAGGCAATGACTGCTGTGTTCCCCTCATCTACTTCAATCACGTGCTGCACGTCCAACTTGAAGTCCTGGAGGTCTGTGGAGAGAAGGGAAGGTGCCAACTGGGCCTCGATGGAGAAGAGAGACAAAGCACCATTTTAGGGTGGGCAGATGCCGTGGTGTCTTCAGTCACGATAAATAGCTGCAGGAGCCTCACTCCCTGAGGGCTTTCTGGGGGTGGTCCAAGTCCTTCCTCCAGCCTTCTGTTGTCTATAAGAGTTTGCAGGATGGAATGTGTGGTCTCCATCACTGCAAGAGAGTTCAACTTGGTATGTATAAGCTGGAGAGTGGGGACACTGTGTAAAGAATTCCACCAGGAGATGCCTGTGACCCAGACCGGCCTCTTCGGTTACTCTGAGACATGGCGGCCAGTTGGCCAGGCCCAGGGGCCCTACTGAACCTGGCAGGAGATGGGTCACTGATCAAGGCATAAATGCAGCTAATGGAGATGGAAGGGAAGGATGACAGAGAATTGTGATCTCTTCTTTCCAGTTCAGTCAAGTTCCCTGGTTCTTCTTTGACATCCCCAGCAAAAGTGACAGGCCCTAGATACCGCTCAATCACCAACCATGGTTGTGACAGGAAGGCTGAGGCTACCCAGAGCTATACTCTCTGTCATGGCTAATCCTTCCTTGGGGCTGGGGGTGCGGGATCTGTGGGTGCTCTGAGGGCTTTCTAAGGCAAAGACGCGTCTCCACGGTGTGGCTAATGGCAGTGGAATATGGGAGGGCTGAGGGTCCTGACACCTGGCTGCGGTGTCTGACAGCATGGTGGCCGTCTCTTCTGACTTGGCTTGGTGGCAAGACTGGGATCTAAGCTGGGAGAGGATGGAGATCCATCTGTAACAAGAGCAGAATGTTTCCCAAATAATCTAACCGTTCAAACCACAAAATTCTCTTTGTATGAGCCAAATCACTGATGTTGCTGAACAAAATGGGACACTTGGGCAAAAAACATTCCAATTTTGTTTTTCAGGACTGTGGTTGAATTTAAAAGACATAAAATGAAAGGGGACTAAGATAAGAAAGATGAGAATATTTACCCAGACGCTCTCTCATAAAGGTACTTAGAAAGCCCTTGAGGCACCCTCTCTGAATGCTGACCATACCAAAAATTCTGCTCAGCTCCTGAGAACAGGCGCCATCAGAGCTTTTACTGCAATTCTGCTGCAAGACTCCACCTGCCTGTGTTGTTTCCCCGGGAGACCCATAGAAGGCAAGAAGGCAACAGGAGCAGGCAGGAATCAGGTTTCTCACAAAAGAGAAGAGGTAATTACCAAAAACAAACTCCGGTCACCACAGGAGAGCCCAGGGATCAAGGCACGCAGTGAGGTCAGAAGGTTTCCCACTTAATGGAACTTTCCAGAAGCTTTTAGACAAGCCATGCCAGGATAGGAAAGCCCTTTTGTTTCTAGGAAAGGATCACTGTCTCTCTGTTTACAATATTAGAGTGTGAACTTTTTAGGGGCAGGGACCAAGTCTTGTTTGTATATGTGTCCTCTGAACCTAACCCAGGGCCTGGCCTAAGTAGATGCTCAGTCAATGCTGAATGACCAAATGAAGGACTATCTTGGAAGTTGGGACCCTCAGATCAGGTACAAGATGCCCATTTATGTTGCCTATGAACTCAAATTTCCTAGTTGTGTTTCGTCTACACTGCAAGCTCAAGGACAGAGGCCTAGCACAACACATTTTCTACGAACCTTTTACCTAAGTATGGTTATTATGAAAATAGACTGCTTCTAGAGCGGTTACTTCTGGAGTCACAGAAGAGATGTGAAATAGGTAATGAAGGTGGAGTAGGAAATACGTGCTGTTCACCAGTGGCATGGCAAAAACAGACAGACTGCCCCCATTCATTTCTATCGCCCTCTTTTACTTTCCGGGCTGAACAAGTGATATCTGGGGGTCAAGGGGAGATCTCACTTACGGATTGCTTCCTTTGGGTGGGTATAGAGCCTTCTGGGCTTTTAAAGAATTATCTCGTCATTGTTTAACTTTGTATATGTGATAATCTGACTCCAAGTAAATTGTGAACTCCTAGGGGACGGCCTATTGATTTTACACTCCACACCCCAGCCCCAAACCCCACTGCACAGTATTCAGGATACAGCAAATGCTCTATAAATCCTTGCTGAATGAATGAACAATTTGGAAGGCTGAGCCCAAGGCCAGCTTGCTGGGAGTGCACTCTGTGCAGCTGCACGTGGCCCTGCGCACGGAAGGGGCCAGCGCTCACGTTAATGCTCTGCTCATCACCGTCTTCAAATCCTTAACAAGTTTGAACAAGACTCCACATTTTCATTTTGCATTAGACCCTCAAAATCATGGAGTCCAGTCCTGGCTGAGCTTCTCAGCCAAGACAGCGGATGTGTGTTTTCTCAGAGAGGAAGGAGATACGGACTACGGGAGAGGGTGGATGGCCTGCGTGCAGTGTGTTCTGACTAAATATTGCTCACTGCTTTTCAAAAGCAATGCACTTAAACAATGCAAAGGCCTTAATCCTCCTCTGCACAGTGTGTGCTGTACCTGCCAAGTCAGGAGGCTCCCCACAAAGCGAGCTGTGAGCGATTGTCCGCTCAGGGGCATGTGGAAAATTCCTGTCACCAAGAAGCACTCTCTTCCACAGTCCCATAAATCTAAAACTACTCCACCAAGAGTTTGAATTTTTTTTTTCCTCCTCTGCTTTATTTCATTCCAAGAAAATTTGCCTCAAGCAAAAATATACTCAAACCTAACAGATCATTTTACAAGAAAGAAAGGAGTTTGGCACCAGAATGCCATCTCCATGTTAATGGCCCAGGCTCTGGCCCCATTGTAATCGAGAGCTTATCCAGGCACAAGGCACGCACTCCTCCATGCACCCACCTCACCGACCCACCACGACAAAACACAGCCGCCCCCCTCGTTCCCCTTGGCTCCTTCTGCACCCTCTGACAACTGCTAAATTGGAGACAGAAGGCTGTGCAGTGGGGGAGGCACAAAGCTGGGCACTGGTCAGCCATGTGGCCAGACAGCCCCTCTGTTCTGATGCCAACATGTGCACAACAGCCCATGTGGGCAGGACCGAGGACACCCGAGCTGGGCATCCTACTGGCAGGCCTGCCTTCCTGGCTTCAAAACAAATAAGCAGTAGTTCGATCCTTGGCCCTGTCCCCGCCCTGTTCCTCCTGAGCTTAAGCCTTAGCTGTTGCTTCACCAGACAAACACATCCAATTTGGCTGCTAGAGCAAAAGTTGAGTTTCACTAAGGGATCACAGGCAGAGTAACAAAGTGATGATGGATCTGAAAATCAGAGCACCCCCTCTTTAGTGCTTTTAGGCAGGAAGGAGACCGGGGAGGGGGGCGGGCTGGAGACGTGTGATTAGTAATGGCCTAATCAGCCACCAGATGAGGCAGATGCAGAGATCTAGTTGGCTGCGAGTGAAGGAAACCAGCCTATTCCCAGGCCCCTTTGTCTGCAAAGCCGGGTTCCTGCCCAGTCCCCGGGCTGCTCTGGGCGCCTCCCTGGGCCTAGGGGGCAGGCCCTTCAATTCCAAATGGGGTTAACAGGCCGCACTGCAGAATGGATCGGGTTTCAGGGGGAAATGGTTTGACAGGACACCTGCCCTTGCCTGTGGGCTGGTGTGTTTGAGAAATCCATTAGAGGAATGTTTTTGCAGCTTTAATCCTCTTACCTTCCCCCAGAGCCCTCTTGTGCATCCTCTCTTTGTGTATCCTTTCGGCTATTTTATTAACTTGTCTGCACTAATCAAATGCCAATAGGTCCACTCTTGTTTCTCAGCTCTCAACAGGCCAGAAGCCCTGGTCTTTGGGGCCATCTCTGGGTTTACAGAGTCTCCTTTTCACAGAACTTTGTTCTTTCTAAGAAAGTCCAAATAATTTGGGTTCCATATAGAACCCTGCCCAGTTCCTTCCTTCTAGGCCCTCCATTTCTTAATGGAAACGTACCTTCTGATACGTCATTTCCACAGATGACAGAGATTTGTTCAGACGCAAACCATGTGATGTGCTCTGGGTTTCCTCCTCACATTTATAGGGTACAGTAGGCACCTGCCTTCTGAGCCAAGGGAAAACGGGGAGGAAAATAAGGCCTGTGAGAAGTTCTGTGGGTGTGGCTGCCATCACCAGGGTTACCTGGGAGACTCCAAAGAGGCCAGTTTTATCTTAAGCCCCTTTGAATTTCTTCTCACCTCGGAGCCTGGATCCTTCCTTCAGCTCAGCAGAGCTATGAATTACAGTATTTGGTATATGATCATGAATTCCCATGACACAAAGCTGTCAAATCTTAAGTGTAGGCTCATCCCCCCAACTGTTATAGAATTTACACATCCAGTTCCAGGGTGCAATGCACCACAGCAGAATGCCCCCGGTGCAATCTATAAGGCATTTCCAGGCATTTCCTCATTTGGCCCTCCTCTCCCTGAGACCTCTCTTGGGCTGCAAGTCAAAGTTCAGTTAAGTAAGAAGTCAGGTAAGACAGTGCCTTTTGGCCGGAGGCTGCATGGCATCACCCCCGTCCCCATTTCCATGAACTCAGCCGAACACTTAAAAAAAAAAGTCATTTTCTACCCATCCAGGCATTTCTCAAGTATAGTCAGTCCTGTCCCACCCTCTTGCCTCAAGACAAGCCTGTACTCATCTGCTGAGGTCTGGATGGGACCCACCAGATTGTGGGGGCACCGCATGGGGCTCACTTGGCAATGCTGTCAGCATGGCTCGGTAGCCTCTTGGCTCTTGGCAAGTTTCTGGGCCGATAATCCTGCTCCCAAACTCTCATGGCCTCCAGGCCTCAACTGTCCTTGTGGTGGCTTGCTGCATCTACGGCTAACGTCACAAAGCATAGAAGACTTTGCCCTATTGTATTCCCCCTCAGTGACATGCTGACCCTGTGGCCCTTCCCTGCACCTTGATGGCTTGCTGAAAGGTGGCAAAGGTTCAAGGGAAGTAAAATGAGGAGCTGTCTCTGGCGGAAGCCGCGGCTCACTGCTCTCCAGCATGGACTCGGAGGTGGAGTTTGAGAAGGTGAAGGGTCCCGAGCATTGCCTCCTGTGTGGGCTTCACTGAGGCGCAGACAAGCACAA